ATGATACATGATCATCTTCTAATTGTTTAGAATTTATATTCATTTTATTCAATTTTTTTTTTCAATTTAAAAACGAATTTTAGTGAATCCGGACTATGCAAGATATTGCTGTACTTTTCCTATTAATCCATGATATATGATCATCTTCTAATTGTTTAGAATTTATATTCATTTTATTCAATTATTTTTTTCAATTGCAGAACTTTCTCCATTAATCCATGATACATTATCATCAATGTATACAAAAATTGTCTACTAATTGTTTAGAATTTATATTCATTTTATTCAATTATATTTTTAAATTTAAAATAAATTTTAGTGAACCCGGACTATGCGAGATATTGCTGTACTTTCACTATTAATTCATGAAAACAAATAGTGTGGATTCAGCTTTAGGTAGGTATAATAATTCAATAAAACCTAAAACGTATGGTGTTTATTTGTTCTGCAAACTATTAATTAAGTTCTATTACCATAAAGTTATGTGTAATAAATATTAAGGGGTGTGCGTGAATACCTCTTGTTTGGTATCCGATTACGGTTCCTTCTGTTACCAAACAAAACGGCGTTGACAGCAGTCAAATAAATCCTAATCAAGGAGGGTGCCTTCTTTTTTGTAGTTATCACTTTGTCACAATCTGTGGGGCGCAAGCTTCGAACAAGGTAGATTAGCAAAACCGATAATAATAATAATATTCCGGTGGGTTAAATTGGGCAATATGCTTCGACGCATTCTTCATTCCTTCCATCCATTTTCCACCGTTATTATTTATTAGATTAGGTCCTCGGGAGGCCCACATAATCAAAATGAGCGATCCGCCCAAGCCGTCCCTTCATCATATACAAAGCGTTCGTTCCGGGCCATAACTCTGTGCTCATACCGTCCTGATTATTACAAGGGCTGCAAATATCAGCGACTTCGCTCTCCCCAGGGACGGCCTATATCATATCAAAACCCAATCCCGTCCGCCGTTTATTATTTCGCGTTCTTCCCTCCACATCACTCCTCTTCTAGTGTTTTTTTTTGTGCTCTGCTTTTTTTTATTATTATATCTATATAGACGACGATGCGGCAACGCGAACTATAAAAGGGCTGCGACGTATCCGGAACGCCCTCATTAATAAAACAATTTCCGTTGCATCGACAACCCTTTTGTTGTTAATCGTATTATTATTATCATCAAGATTTTGGTAGAAGGCTTCAAGTGGTTTTATTTTTCAAGTGCGAGGATCATGAAGTGATACGCAGGATGGATATGATGTACAGAGTTTACGAGGACAAGAAATGTAAGGATTCGGTGCAAATAGTTTTGGAACGATATTTATAAATCAGAGTATACAATTAGAAGAGCTTACAGTCATAGGCAACAAAAGTAAGACAGAACTTTTTACTTATAATAAAAAGGAGTGCATTCTATAATACGAAGGTAATACTATACTTTTCTGAAACTTGTCCAACAAACTTGGGATTAGTCTTATAATAAGACAAGAGAATTAGATTGTTATTACAAAAAAATATCTTAATAAATAAAAATCAATATTTAATTATTTCGAAGTAAATTAACGTTTTTTTAATATATTTGAAACTTAAGTATCATTAGAAATAAATAATTATTATTGCAATAAATCCTATGAAACAAGTTATTATGAGAGAAATTAGATTTACGAAACAAACAATTCCTTCATTTAATAATATTTATACTTATTAATTGAACTTTTTTCATATATTTGTAGAATTATTTTAAAAATGTTGTTATTATTATATTTTTAATTAAAATAAATATATAAGACAACAAATTTCTGGTTATCCTTGATTTAATTTTAAAGAATTCAAAAGTATGAAAAAAACATACTTGAATAATTATAAATTATTATTTAAGATTTTTTTTTTGTTTCATTCGTATTTTACTTATATTAAAACAACAAAATAAATTGATATTTTTAATTATGTAATAGTTTTAATAATTTGGACGTAATTATATTTTTATTTAAATTGATACACGAATTGCCGTATAAAAATTAAATTTAAATTTTCAATTTTTATTACCTTTTAGATTGATTTCATTCAGATTTTAAGAATTATTGTTTTTCTGTTAATTTTTATTTTCATCGCAGTTTCTTATTTATTACTTTTTTTTTTGTCTTAGATATTATTTAACAAAGTAACTAAAATACGATTACATCATTCCAATTTCTGTAACTTCAAGATTTTGTTAAATTATTATTTATTAATAATTCATTTTTCTACTAATTATTTTCTGAACAATTATTTATGGGCATAAATACCTATTTTGTAATCTTTTTTATTTGTTTATTATGATTATAAAATTATCTTGCAATTATTTATTAGTATATTTACATTTCTTTGACTTTTTATTTTGAACACAATATTTACATGTTTTTATTTATTTTTTCTAAAATCAAAATCATTTATATAAGTTCTTGTCTATTAAATCTTATGATTGGCATGTATCTTTTTTCAAGGTAGTTGCATTGATTTGTGTTGTTTTGTAATATAGAGCACTTTTACAATAACAATCAATAATTAAGTTGTTATTATTAATTTACATTGTAATCAATTTGAACAAGAATCAATTAAGAACAATTTGAATAATTATAGATATTGTAAATCAGATTACAAAAAAAATACCCTTAGGAATTTATGCGTAGAAACGTGTAAACTATAGAAATAATAATTACATTATCAATATCAGGAAACAACAACAACATCAGATGTTTATTGAAAACTGAATAATAAAAAAATAATTCTAAAATCTTTACAAATTTCTCATCTTTACAGATTTCCATTTCAAAGGTGATAATTTTTAATAACCAAGACTTAATTCGAATGAAAATACACAAGTGATTAAGATTAATGCTTTCTATTTTTGTTAAACGATGTTGAAGAGGAAAAACAAAATCTGTTTTTCTTAAGATATTGAAAAAACTGGATAATAAAATTAATTCAAATATGTTTGTAGAATACATTTATTTTCATACAAATGAAGTAATAGTTAGTAATAATCATCATTCCTTCATGTTTCAGTATCAGAAACTGAAGTAATTTATAAATTCGATTATAATTTTAATTATTGTTAATGATATTCCAATGTTAGAGGTTTCTGAAGGAAAAAAATGCGAATGGAAAACTGGATAATAAAATTAATTGTAATGTTGTAGTTGTAGTAAATTTATCCATTCGAATGAAACTTTCCATATGATCATCATCACTTTACTATATATTTCTATACCAGAAATCGTCGGTAGTCCATAAATCTGAATATCCTTTTAATAGTTAATCGAGGAAGGTACAAAATTGGAATACGAACAGATAAAAAGAAGGTAGGAGAAAGGATTTATTAAGCGTAATTTCTGTCCGCGGTGATTAAGTTCTTCGATGATCGGAGAGGTAGCTGCGGCAATTGCCAAGCAATTAACCTGTCGGTGATTAGAAAATCCACATAAAGCTGCCACATTACATGCAACTCATCGCTTCTTTATTTTCTTATTATTTCGATTCGTTTTGTTCCTCTTCCTCCAGTCGCACATTCTTTTACTTACGTATGTGTATGTATTTCTTATAATTCTTTTTTTTTTCTCTCTATACTTTCAACCGCCCGAGTCGTGTCTCCTTGTTCTTTTCGCCTGCGGTTTCATTCCTCGACAAAATCTACAAACAATACGATGAATATTTCATGCCATACTCGAGTCACTCGAGGAATACCACTTCTTTACATGCGACGATAATACGACGATAAATAAGCTGACGTCTCTATATGGATTTAACCAATTTAACGCACATTTATCGTACTTATTTTGCATGCTGCATGAAACTACACTTTTTTTAATGTTTTATATCTATACATAAATACATGCTTCATTTCGTCTTTCAATTTATTATTATTACTTTGATTAAAATTATAATATTGAAGTCAGAATGTGAATATTTGTTATACAAATTTCATTAATTGTATTCATACATTTTAACTGAGAAATTAATGCGAAATTTTATGAAAAATAAACTGAAATAAAATAATTATAAATTATTACATAATTTTAGATTAATAATAAAAAAAATCAATGAACTGATTACTACAAATCTTAGTACAAAATTTTGAATTATTTCAAATATATTGTTTTAGTTGAAATGATAATTTCTTAATGATAGTTTGAGGAAGACTTTGAATAGATTTGTTTTTAACATTAGTTCTTGAAGGATATTTATCATCGAGTATGCTCTTAATTACCACGCTGAAGTGTTGTGCTCCACAAAGGAGTAATGGTACTCACGATAATGACTTAATTACACTATTTTCGATTCTATTATTCTACGTGTTTACGATACACGTTTTACATAGTTAGATTACATCATACAATTTAAGTTTTAATATCTTTCCTTTGAAGAATTATACAAAAAATAATAATTAAACTGAAATTACGTGATCTTAATTTATATTAACAAAATCTTATTTGGATTGATACAGATTGATTCTGAACACTATTATATAAATTAAATCAGATTTTATTACATAATTAATTATTTTATGAATGAGCATGATTCGACTATAATTTTACATAATATTAATTACATTTTTGCTGTCATTTCACGAGGCATTCAATGATTAACATTGACAAAAGCGTCATTTTTTTTTGTATTTGCTTCTTTTAAATATATTAATATATGCGAGCTTATAAAGATACTGTTTGTATAAGTACGTGTTACTTGACAAGTATATGTTATTTGTAGAATTATTTGTCAAATAGTATGGGAAGAGTAAATAATAAGTGCGAATTCAGCTATGGTTGTCATGCAATATTTGACAAGAAAAATGTGATGCGTCTTATAGAACATCGGTGCGTATTATACAACGGTATATGTTATTTGTATCCATGGTAATATTGTGCATGATCTGCTAGATGGAATTGGTGGTGAAGAAGTGCGACGAAGTTCATTAGTTGTAAGTGGAGAAGTTGCAATAATGTTCTTGTTTTGATTCCAGGTACAGTTCTTGTACAGGGCGAAGTGTCAAGTGCGCCTTTGGTGGCGGCGAGTGCGCAGCCATCTGCCCCCAACAGTCCTCAGTCAAGTATGCTCCTTCTGCAGACTCAAGTGAGTACCTATGGATACAACCTAACCTAAAAAAATAAATAAACAAACGAATGAACCGTTAAGCGTCGCGTCGTCTCCCCCCTTAAAACGCAACCCGATCCTTTCGGAATTGAAAGCGCTTAATCGACGCCAGAGATCTTTACCAATATATCTCCATTTATCGTTACAAAATATAAATAACGCTCTATTAATAAATCATTCCCATTATTGTGCGCGCATATAATTAAACCGTTGCATTTCTGTTATTTCCTTCTACCTATTTTTTATTTATTTATTTATCTGTTTTTGCTCTTTTTCACGTCTTCGCGTTGCAGAACGTAACGTAACGAATATGGGTTTTAATATAAAACGTGAGGCGAGGCACTGAAACCGTAAATCCCATTAGATCCTGGCCACGTTATAAACGATCATCCTCGCATTCTGCGGCGCGCGCGAAAATGCTAATTTCGAAATTAAATTCCAATAATAAATTTCGTGCCCCTTTTTTCCTTCTTCTTCTTCATCCTCTCCATCTTCTTATCCACCTCTCATCCATGCAGAATGTATGAGAAACTGGCTTTTGTTGCTACACGGCAACTCTTTCTTTCGATGTTCATTTCAATAGGAATATTTATGAAGCTATGAAAAAAATGTATTACACGATTCTAGAATTTACTGTTACATTATCCGCGTTCCTTATTTTTCTATCTCTTTCTCCTCCTCTCATATGAAATTTATTTATCGCGAAAGAATATTCAAGTTAATTTCCACATACAGTCACAGCACACCACACCGAGACTTTCGAAACGAATCTCCATTTTCCTCCTGATTCACATCAAAACGACAAAATACAATTATTTCATTAAACAACAACACAAAACTATATCCAACTATAAGTTATATAATACACATAATCTTATAGTATTTGATACCCTTAACCTAAAATTATATCATTTATCACGAGTAGTGAGGATGCAGCTTTATAATTATCTACAACTGCAGTAATACTTCACACAAACTAGGTATTGACAATTCCGCCAATTCCGGACTGTTTGAAACCGGACTAATTTAAGAAAAAGACACTTGTCTATATGAAAAAAAACATCACTATGTACTAATTTATATTGCACAATTAAAGTTTAGTTCATTGTTAAAATTTCTAAATTTCGAGACTATAATGAATCCGGAATGATTGAAACCGGACTATGCGAGGTATTGCTGTATTAGTTTTATTTTAATAAAGCTACATCCATACTAAGTACAATAGTAGAGTCACTTCCAATTTTATCTAGAACTGCAGTAATACCTCACATAGATTGTGTATTGATAATTCCGCCAATATTCCGCACTGTTTGAAACCGGACTAATCCAAGAGTTTAAACCTTACAAAAAGAGACTTGTCTATATAATTGATTTAGAATTTATTTTTAATTTGCACAATTAAAATTTAATTTATTTTGAAATTTCCAAACCGGACAATATTGAATCCGAAATGTTTGAAACCGGACTATGCGAGGTACTGCTGTATTAGTTTTTTTGTTAATAAAGCTGCATCCACACTAAGTACAATAAGTAACGTCACTTCCAATTTTATCTAAAACTCCATTAATACCTCACATAGATTGTGTATTGATAATTCCGCCAATATTCCGCACTGTTTGAAACCGGACGAATTGAAGACTTTAAACCTTACAAAAAGAGACTTGTCTATAGAATTGATTTAGAATTTATTTTTATTTTACACAATTAAAATTTAATTTATTTTTAAATTTCCAAACCGGACTATATTGAATCCGGACTATGCGAGGTATTGCTGTATTAATACCTCACATAGATTGTGTATTGATAATTTCGCCAATATTTCGCACTGTTTGAAACCGGACTAATCCAAAAGTTTAAACCTTGTAAAAAGAGACTTGTCTATAGAATTGATTTAGAATTTATTTTTATTTTGCACAATTAAAATTTAATTTATTTTGAAATTTACAAACCGGACTATAATGAATCCGGAATGATTGCATTAGTTTTTGTTTTAATAAAGCTGCATCCACACTAGATATAATAAGAAACATACATTTATGCCAAACCTACCAATTAATATGACATCATTGAAAATTCATCGGTCTGAAATAGTAATTGGTACAAGTGACAGAAATTTATGTCTCTTTTCACGCATAGCTTAAGAAAATTCTAAACAAATTGTAACTTCCCGTCTTATCTAACAACTATTAAATATGATTTATTTGCAACGGTCAAAGCGTCTGAAAGATACATTTTGCTCGAGCAAAAGAAAAAACCGTACATCAATTAAACCTATCCTTGCATTACTGAAAACCCTCGGGGCTGAAACTCGTAGTTAACCGTGGATTTATCGCTTCGCGCTTTTGGATCAAGATTAAGTGTTGATTCGGAGGTATTTGTTGTTTGCGACAAAAGATGAATAATAAATCGTTCCGTTTAAATTGTTGCGGCAGACACGGATCGAGTTGTTCGCAAATGCACTGTAAATCATTGCGTATCCTTTAATGATCGTTGCGTCAGCAACGAGATTAATCGAAGATTTATGCTGCTAATTTTTATTAATTATCGAATTAACTTGCGTTAATTCCCTCACAAGGCGACGATTATTAAAGACGCATTAACGTGTGCTTATATAACGTACGTTTTTCTTAATCCGCCTTTCAATAAACGTATTTTTCTTGCATGTTCATAATTAATTTTTTTGGTAATATAATTACATCCTCGTCTTCAATTAATCCAAATTAAAAACAACTTAAGTCGCAATTAATTATTTATTTAGTCACCTTTATATAATTACATTTCACTATAATTTGATACATACTTTTATTATGTATAAATCTATTAAAAAAAATATCTCGTAAAGTTTTTTTTTAATTAAATTTTAATTAGTTAATTATTTTTGTTGTCTGCAAATATTTATGTAAATTTCAATTATAAATAATATAAAAAATTCTTAATTTAATACTGAAATTCTATCAGAAAAACTCGTTTTTCTATAATCAAAAAAATTGAATAATGTAGTGGAGATTATTATTGTGATAATAAATGTGAATTAAATCATTGGTTAGTTCATTAATTAAAAATAATTTAATTTTCTTTCTACATCAGGTTTAATTACAATTAAAATCGTTCGTTAGTAAATTAACTGCCCATTAATTTCAAACTGGAATTGAATCTCATGCAGAGATTGAAAACTAAATTAATTATCAATCGTTAAAATCTTGCAGACAGGAAAACTCAACATTACATTAATTAAAACTACAATAAATTGTATTAAATTTATTTGATTATTATTGTTCAATGAAATTTATTCAATTTTTTACAGTCTTCAATCAATATTTAGATTATATAATTCTAAAATTTGAATGTTTTAGATTTTCTTAATTAAACTTAATTTGAATAATATTTTGTATTAGTAATTAATTATATTTGTTCTATTTTTATTAATTTTTAATATATTGTAGTTTTTTTTTATAAAAAATGTAGATTTTCATACACTAATTTTATATAGGATTTCTACGTACTTAATTTATATTTAAAATTAATCTAGATTTAAGATATAACAATTTTTGTGCGTTTTAAATTGAAATTATAGAAAATAAACAAATTGAAAGAAACGAAGTTAAAAATTAAATGATAGTTTTATAATATTTGTAAATTTGGAAGTAAAATAAACAAATTGAAAGAAACGAGGCTACAAATTAAATGAATGAATAAAAAATGATACAATTTTTATAAAATATGTAAATTTTAAGTATTTTCATTTACTAATTCTATAATGATTTTTTAAGTGTTTTCTTGTGTTCTTTAATATCATTAAAATAGCCGAGTTTCGCCTAAAGATAGAATGTTTGTTTTATTTAAACTGAAATTATAGAAAAAAAACAGGCCAAATATGAAATGAATGAAAAAAAAGATAAATTTATAAATTAGGCAAAGTATTTTATTTAATTAATTTGTACGTGTTCTTAATCGGTGGCAATCGCAAGCCCGACAACCGAAATCCCATCTATCGAAATCCCGGCTGGCTCAAAATCCCGACTATGTCAAAATCCCGACAATCAAAATCCCGACTATATCGAAATCGAAATTATTATAAATTTCTACAATAACATTTTTTTGGAAGTCAGGATTTCGATATAATCGGGATTTTGATTGTCGGGATTATAGTAGTCAGGATTTCAATAGAGTCGGGATTTCGATATAGTCGGGATTTTGATTGTCGGGTTTATGGTAGTCGGGATTTTGACATAGTCAGTATTTCAAGCGTCGGGACTTTAATACAGTCGGGATTTCGAACGTCGGGATTTCAATAGACGGTCTTTCGGTTGTCGGGCTTGCGATATAGACCCTTTCTTAATATCACTAAAATATCTGAGTTTCCTCTAAATATAGAATATAAAAATGAAAGAAACGAGGTTAAAAAATAAAATGAAAAAAAAAATGACTGAGTAACAAGAATATAGTAAACTTTTGTTTATTTGTTAAATGCTATATAAGTTTTGATCACTATTTATATAAACAATTCTCTGTTTGGTAGTTACGTAACGGCGTTTGTATGAAATTGAGTAAACGCATGAAAACAATTGCGAATGAATCTAATTGCATAATCCCGTAGTTCTGTTTTGGGAGACACCTGTATTGTTGGTTGGTGGTTTTCCCTCTACGCCGGAGTGCAGAGCAGCAAGTCCATAGTTGCAATACGTAACTGGACTCGATTACAATAAAGTTATAGTAGTAGTAGTATTATGCTGCATTATAAATGGAAGTGGCAGCAGGTTCAGAAGAAGTGAGGCGCCCATGAGCCGTGAGAACAAATAGTTTTCATGGATTTACGACGGTAATTAAAGCGGAACGTAATGAATGCGTATCAAATATTAAAAGCAGAGAAAAAAGAAGAAAAAAAAAACATAACATAACTTAGGTAATAATGTCGGTGGTAAACGGAGATGAAGGAGAAGAAAAAGAAACCAGTACGTTCTGCAGTTTATAATTAACCG